TTAAAATGGAACAGTTATGTATTCATGCTTTGTAGAGGGAGAATGAAGAACGAAACAAAGCAGAAAGAGCAACTATAACGAACAGATGTAATGACACGTGAAATTGCCACACTCAATATAATAAACCGGGAAGCGTTTGAATCTCGATATGAGTTGTGTGAGAGATACTTGTTGCGTTATTCAATTCGCCTCATTCAATGAATATCACAGTGTTTAGAGGTTCTAACGAGCTTTTACCTGTTTTCGAATAATGAATGCGAAATGGAGGCTAAATGATCAGGAATAGACTACGTGTTAACTTTGTATTCGTAACATGAAGATAATACTTTCCAATTGTGAAAAATGTAATATGATCAACGTTAATGTGTAATTAAACAATTAGTTAGTAAACCTGTCAGATGTTAAAAAACACTACTTTTGTAAAAAAAATTCATGAAAAATGCGTAATTATAAGCCGAGAGTTCTAACGATTCAAATTGACTCGCAAAATCAGCAATTCTGATGCATTACTTTGACATGAATACATGTTTGTTTTTCACTTGGTTTGATCATCATATCTATTTTTTTCTTATCGCGTCTATTTTTTTTCTCATCATGTGTAGCCGCATAACAGAATGGTAATTCGTTTTTGCTCTTTATGAGTAATATCTCAAGGCGACATCGAGTCAAGGTCTCTTCGTAACTTAACTGCATTGCTAAAGAACCAATGATCCAAGATACTGCGCATCTTTACCCAGTCGAACAAGTGTACGGTTTATACGGTTTATACGCACTCAATATCACACGAGTGATTACAAGATGTAACTTATTGAGCACGAATAATTAATTAATATTCAATTGACAATATACGCAGCTGTTCGCATCTTCGTGCTACATGGCTTTCGGCCGTCATCTCAAAGTACCTATGGTCGGCACGGTAGCCAGCGTTTTTCATGATTGGCTCTCTGAGGTATCCGCCAACCCGATGAATCCTTCTTATGTCCCGAGTATATTCTCGGGATACAATCAACAAATGAATTTCAAGGAACGTTTAACAAATTTCCTAATAATGCATTATATCTCTTGGCAATTTCATTATTATACAAATAGCCACCAATTGAAATTGGTAAATGAGCACTTCGGCATGAACTTGCCACATATCGCGGATTTATATAACGATGTATCTTTATATCTGGTCAATTCTCATCACTCGTTAAATGGAATCAGACCAATGACCACTAACGTGATCGAGATCGGTGGTCTGCACCTCAGCGACGAGGGTGACCCGCTGTCACCGGTATGTTTCAACATAAATCACTTTTTTTCTTATATTATTCACAAAAATTCTTTCTGGATATAATGAAACCTGACTAGAATCAAAATCATTTTTTTATTAATAAATATATAGTTTTATTTTCTTCTTTCGTTCAAGATTAAATAAAAAATAAGAAAAATATAACTGCAGTTAAATAAAATGATTATTTTGTGCAGAAAATATAAAATTTATTGTTCAAATAAACAGAATGTGATATTAATAAAAAAAATAAAAAAATAA